GTTCTCGCGCATTTCCCTCTCAAATCGGATCACAGTAAGTAACAGAGATTAAAAAAGAACCACATCGAATAATCCGGATTAAATGCAGAATTAGAGAGAGTACGTCCGTGCACGCGTTTTAAACGCAGCCGGACGAGTTGCATGGATGTCGGATTATCGATTTTATCGCATGCTGCAACTCGACGGTGCGCCGCACCGCACCGTTGCGATTTTATTTCTGTGCGCGATTTCGACGCTTTCACCGCGGTTACGATATAATATAACGTACACGTGATACGTGCATATATATTCTACAGAAGTACATACGATTACGTGTATTACATAATATTATTTGATAAGCAGTGTGTACCGAGCACATAAGTTGTTCGCTGCAAGTTTATTCTCGGAACACGTTAATATCTAAAATTAATCAGCTAAATTTCTGTTTAAGTAAAAGACTGTTATTTTTTTTTTTTTGAAGTAAATATTACGTGCTGACGTGCTTCGTGTCTATCCACTATATTCTTCTTCAAACACTTGAAAAAAAGACAATGCATAATTATGTAATTAGCAAATTATATTTCAATTAAATAATATAGATTGTTTATTATATTAAATTTATGATATTACATTGATTATAGAAGCTTCCCCCCTCTCTCTCTCTCTCTCTCTCTCTAAGTGCTTACATTATTAGCTAGAAAAATAAACATAAAAATAATAGATACATTTTTAATATTTATCGATGTTGATGAAATTTAAAATTTGAAGAATTTTTTTTCGCGGGAGATTAAAGATAAATAAGAAATGGACGAGGAAGAGGGAAGCTATTCCTTGCTTTCAGTATGAAAACATTCTGTATTCAGATATCGACACTTAGCTAATGCCGAATGTCAGGTATCGATGCCAAAAGCACTCGGCCGGAAGAAGAGCATCTCGAAATTTTGCATCTAAAGCCACAGCTCTTCTTCTCACAAGCATTCAAGCGCGTTTGCATTCGACACTCTGGTCTCGTACGAAATCAATTACTGGTTACTCGGTTACCGGCTAGCGTGTGTCGCATACAGGCGTGTGTGTAAGCGTGTATGTGGAAGTGCTTCCACGTAGCATGTACTTACGTATGAATATATTTGGACGTGTGTGTGTGTGTGTGTTTATTTGTTTGTGTGTATCACACATGTATACTTACACACATGCTTGGCCAGTCCCGTATCGTAATTCGCAATTTGCTCGAGCATTCACCTTCGAATTCCCGTTATTCACGTTCCATATCGTCATCGTATGCTCGGGAACCACTCGATGAAGAAATGATTGTTTTAGTCAAGAGACTGTTGTAAAAAGTAGTGCCGGCTACACTATTATCCCGTATGAGAGTCTTCGATTGCGATCAAAAAGCGTCTGGATAAATGACATTTGATTATGGCACTTTAACTTCAAAGTGACAATCTTAGCATATTTATACAGAATCAATCGAATAAGTTATAAATTGCTATGAATACAGTTATGGATTCTACGAGTATATTTTCGGATTTGTCTACTTTTAACTCTAAAAGTCGCTAACAGTTTCTCATTGAAATTTAACAATGTTCAATTTCCTGTTTTTTATCTTCAGATATAGCGATAAACAATTTAGATTTTCTTTAGACAAAGATTTAAAAAACAGGTCTGTCACAATTATCCCAAAGATCTTTTTATAATTATAAGAAGAGAAATTTATGGTAAATGCAAGAGAAATTTTGAATATAACAATAGTCATTCTTTACGTTAATAATGCTCGATTTAATCGTTTCGCGCTACGTCTTCAAGTTAAACAAGTTGAACATCTGATATAAATTATTATACGTGAAATACGGTTTTTAATGAAGTTTTCGAGAACAAAAAAAGGAGATCGGAACAATCACTTTTAAAAAAAGGTATTTCAAACTCGTTGTCGATTTTTAACACGGCGAAGCTCCAAAGAGCCATTGGGGATCAATTAACGAGGAAAAATATCGCCATTCACCGATATCCACCGATGAATCACCCTTAAACGACAGACTATCGCTGTAGCCACAGCTGCTGCGTAACCGCGGCTTTTGCACTGGCCCTGTGTAGCACGTATGATTATTGCCGGGTCGGTCTCGGTGGTAATTAATTCTTACTGATGCCGGCGCTTTGTAATCGGCGTTCTACAGACACCAATATTTATCGCCGTCCGCTTTATAATTAAACGCCGTCTTTAAATCGCACGGTGTTTAATGCAAACCGACGGCGCCATCGCGTTTTCTATTCTTAGCTCGCGTTATTATCGCGTTATTATCGAATTCTTCGCACTGATATTATCGAAGATAATGATGGCAGGTAACCGACGTGCTTTCTCAAATTTGCACGTTGTAGGGAGAGAAATTTATCCGTATAAAAAGATGGTGTAATACTAATTAATGATATTACATTAGCATATGTGTAATATTATATTCTTATATAATATTACTTATATGCTAATGTAATATTAATATGGATAATTATTATTTTTACTTTTTTTTTCTATCGTATTTTTTGGTCGTTACTTGCCGCCAAAATTATCGAGCGCAATGTACACTGTGTGTGGAATGAAATATCCACTAACGGAACCATTAACACTAAGATTTCCTCCGAAATCTCCGTCATATTAGCATCATTCGTATTACATAAGAAAAGTTTTGATTCGCCTTCTAGAATACCCGGGGAGTAACTTTATACGAGGAAATCGATCGCGATTACGCGGCACGAAGAGAGACTTTCTATTCGTATCGCCGTATGCCGTTTGTAAAGTTCAGCGCCGTTTCACGATTCGTAATTGCTGCACGTGTTATCGAATCTACATTACGTTTCCACGTTACAATCGACTCTTTCAAAAACTGTCGTAAAATATTGATCGAAAGAAAGTACGTGTCGTACCACTCGTACCTAAATGCAGTAAATCATTTACGAGAAACGGAACGTTGCACAGAGAACGAAATGTCATAGCATTTTGCTTCTGATATTCCTTCCGTGTACACCGAGAGAAATGTTTGGCATGAATAACCAAAGTTTTGTTATTGAAAAACTGTTTGTTGTTGTGTGACCAATTAAACCGTTGGTTATAACGCCGATATTAATTTGTTGAATTTACTAAACAAACTGATGATTTAAACGATACAAAACTGTTTTGTGTGATGCTCAGAGATTGTTTATAGTTAAAAATAGAACATTTTGTTACCGGAACAACATAATTACATATAAGATATATATCTCACTTTCTACAGAGTGAAATTATATTTGGCGTCAATCAAGAGAAATAGGCTCGTGTAAATGCTACGCAATTAATTGAAATGTCAAGGCTTTTATTATAAACGAGAGCAATATTAGTTAATTAATAAAATTCACATTATATTCACATACGTATACCGTTAAAAATCTCAAGCGTTTCGACTTACAAAGTCTTCATCAGTGATTAACAAAAAAAACCTATTTATATAACCTCTAACAATGTCAACTAACGTACTTATAATATAAAATAAAAATTATCGCACTAAGCTAGTCCTATATACTTATTTCTACATTAAAATATTACGGATCTATAGAAGTGTCCAGTCTGAAGATTGAAGAGTCCATAATTGTAAAAATTGTGTGTAACCAGAATACCGACAAACTATACGTATGTGAATATAATGTGAATTTTATTAATTAACTAATATTGTTCGTTTATAATAAAAGCCTTGATATTTCAATTAATTGCATGTATTTGGCATTTTTAAACTTTCCTAGTTTGACAAAGGTATATATAGAGTCAGATCGATAGTTTACTAATCGCTCTGAAAAAAAAAATGTCATGATTGACCAAAATTGGCGAGACGTACATGAAACTGGTCTCGAGCTGGTCTTTAACCATCCCTGCTTTATATTGCGATTACGTCGAATCTTTCTTCCTTTTTTTCTTTTTGTCTTTTTTTCTTACGAAAAGATACGCCATCTTCGAAAGCTTCGCCAAACATTCCTTGCTCTATCATAATAAATTTTGATTTTATAATAAGTATCCCAATTTTATAAAACGTCCCAGATAACATTTATGTTGCATAAGATGTCCAAAAGACGTTTTTTAGACATCTTGTGCAACATACATATTATCTGGAGTGACTAATCAAATAAAATTATATACTGTTAAATTCAAAGATTTGTCAAATTTTGCTTATGTAAGAAAAAAATATATTACGTTTTGCTATTTTTTTTTTTAAACTGCCCATTGATAATCGGTTACTTGCAAATAGTTATCTTTTTTGTTATCATTACTATAATTTTTTTTCTCAGTGTAATTACACGAAAAAATGGTTTTGCTAAAGTTTCGAAAAATTTAGATATAGATATGAAAAAACAATTATATACGATGCTTAAACATGATGCGTATTGTTATAAAAAGTTTTGACACTTAGTAATCAGCCTGAACGTCCTACATAATTATTTTGATAATCCACAAAATTATTTTCAGACTTATATCTAGCACTTTTTAAAACGTCAGCAAAACTGTTTTTTTATATTGTATAACTACTGCACAAGTAGTCTGAAAAAAGTACGGATTCGTTTGTTTAACTTTAACTTTTAGTCTTTTCTTAATGCGAAAACTTGGTTATTGAAATAATCATCGTTATTTATCATCGTGATACACGAAAAGAACAATTTTGCTGAAGTAGAAAAAAATTTAGCTAGATACAGAAAATAATTTGGTTGAGGCATCAAAATAATTACATATAAATCCCAAACATGACGAGCAATGCTATTTTTAATTTTGCAATTCTAGCAACTAGTTTAAATTACGTCCTACATAAGTATTCTGATGATCCAACAAAATTATATTATTAGATTATTAAAATTATTATCCGTATCTAGCTAAATTTTTAGATACTTCAGCAAAACCGTCATTTTCGTGTAGATAAGTAGAAAGATAACACCTTATTGAGAGATTAAAAATATTTCATTTATTTCATAAGAATGCATTTTATTTAAATATTGCTATTATTTTGTGTGGCGTTAAAAATGTTGCGTGATCGCGTTTCCGGTAAATAAATATGTTTAATTTTCTTTCATTCCTATGAGAAAGTTAGACGATTCTTTAGTCCTTTGTATACGAGGATCGATGTTACGCTCTTAGACGTTTGCTGTCTTCGTCGTTCACAGCTGATTATCTTCTCTCTTTCTGCACGGTACATTGATCCCGCGAGAGATTGTAGTCGTGTAATTAACTCGTTATATCTATCTCCCGCGACCCGGCATTACGTAACGCTTCGTCTCTTGCTCCTGCCTCTTCTTCCTTTCTTTCCTTTTCTCAATTTCCTTCTTTTCTGTTGTTTCTGTTTTTCCTCGTTCGACGCACTCGTCGGATTCGCCAGACGCTTTGAATCAATAGTGAACTTTCTTCGACTGTATCAGAAACGTTTTATCGAAAAGGGATTTTTCTAAAGAAAAAATAATGTGTCTAAAATAGTTTCCTTATTCATCTTAGTATCGACTTGGAATTTATCGGAGAATATAATTATAAATGATATACGCTAAAGATAAGAAGCGGGCAGTCAATGACATTTGATGCTTGACAGAAATTATACAAAAATAACGAATGTCGAAGATACAAGAATAAATGAAATTTTTCATATATCGCGTATATTGACGATAAGATATAGTTATAAATTCTTTTTTTTTCTCTCATATGCATACATACACACTGTTAAATTCATAATGTCAAATTATACTCAACTTAAGTTGTTTTTAATCATTTAAATAGGTCGTTACCTCTCTTATTCAATATGTTGTTAATTTAACTAAAACAATGGAATTAAACAATTTAACTTAAGAAAATGTATTAAATTGTGCTCGAATTTAGTTCATTATTTACTAAGTGCACACATTATCCGCACATGTTAATACGGATGTTGTTTACTTTGAAACTAATCACAAAAATTAATTGATTTACATTTTAACAATGAAAGTTAAATAACAAAATGTTATTTAATTCGAGAGATTGGATTTTTACTCCTTTGAAATCAAACAGTGGATATCTCATACAATTAAAACTTGGAAAGTAATCTTATCCAGTGATTGTGAAAACATTTGTTACTTGTTCGATCGCGTGTCTTTGTACGTTTTCCAAATGATTACACATTCGTGCGACAAGAAAGTACGTTCCGAAAGGGATGTAGAATCAATCCGTGACGACACCGGGTTGCTCCTACTACAAACGAACAAGCGCAAGATTGCCTCGATTTCCGAGTTCAATTCCTGTGCCACGGCATTCGCCATTGAATTCTTATTTTAAAATGTCGCGACTTCATTCCCGACAAAAAGATATCTTGGATTGCTAAACGTCAAAACAGCAAAGCGGAGCGAGAAATCGATAACAAAGAAAGCGACGACTCTTCAATAAAAATGTAGCGAATGCTTTATTTTAAAAGCACAACAATCATGAATATCAAGAGGTTTTCAAGAAATTGAAGAAACTTTTGAAGTGCAATGTTTACTTTACATGTAATTTAAATATTGAGGGGCGTTTTATATTAGTTAAAAGCACAGCCAAAATCAGCCAAAGCAGACTTCTATAACTAATAACAGTCAAAAAATTTTGGTTGTGAATATACTCTGAGACTAAAAAAACTGCGCAACAAATAATTAGTTTATAATGACTTATGCACCGCAATAACTATATTTTGTAGTTTTAATTAAATAACTTTTAAACGAGGAAATCCAAATGAAGTTCTGTATGAATATTTATTAGACTTTTATTAGAATATATAAAAAGTTTGATTTAATGTTATTTCCACATACAATTTACAAATAAATATTATAATACAATACGCGATTTTGTACAAGTATCAAGGTAAACAAAAAATTAAATAACTTTTAAACGAATAAGAAAATTGTGCTCAAATTTTACACAGATATTCAAACGTAATAATAAAACAATAATTTATAAAATTTATATATTTTCGATAATATCACTGGTCGACAAAAATTCAACATTTTTTTGGCCTTAAAGTAAACGAAGAAACGTTTCTGATAGATTTTGATGCGCTGATTACGAATCTGGTTGCGAAAATGTCATATCACGTCAAATTTTTGAGATATTCTAACTTAAAGGTGCAAAAGTGAGGTTTTTGTGGTAAAATGGCCGATCCAATATGACGAATTTTTTTATTTTGAGATTTTGATCTGTTATATTGGATCGGCCATTTTTAATTTTGAAAATCTATCTTCGGATTCGTAATCAACGACCCGAAAAATCCTCGGATACAAATTTTCAAAACAATCGGTTACAAAAACATACAAAAAACTCTGACACAAAAGGTTAAAAAACATAAAAAATTCAATTTATTCTGTTTCAGCGAAAAAAAGTTGGATCATAGCAATCGAATATGCATTGGAAAGAGTAAGAATAACACTTTAATGTGACATCTGGCTGGATGCTGAAAAAAAATTGTTAGGCATTTTATAAGTCATTGAAAATGGCCAAAAACCCCATTTTTTGCACCTTTAAGTTAAAATATTTCAAAAATTTGACGTGATACGACATTTTCGCGGCCAGATTCGTAATCAGCGCATCAAAATCTATCAATTTTTATAAGTCATTGAAAATGGCCAAAAACCCCATTTTTTGCACCTTTAAGTTAAAATATTTCAGAAACTTGACGTGATACGACATTTTCGCGGCCAGATTCGTAATCAGCGCATCAAAATCTATCAGAAACAACTTCGTTTACTTTAAGGCCAAAATGATGTCGACCAGTGTATTTTTTTGAGATGTGATACATCCTTAATAAAACTTAAATGTATAAAAAATAATTCTAGTTTCAGAGTTCATAAATATTGATGAAATAATTTTATTAATTCGCCGATAAATATAGAAAAGACCGCGTTTAGTCTCGCGCATAATCGCTTTAAGATTAGACATTGTGCTTGCCGGAGAAATTAGGCTAAACGACGAGCTAAACGTCTCACGCCCGAGGAGTAAAAGGCTTTTGTCGTGTACACGTGAGACAAGAGGCGAGAGGAGGATATGACCGACGACAAGAGTCCCTACTACACGCTTGTCGAGCTGGTATTCAAAGAGCCCTTTTGCCGGAGGAAATACCGTGACGCAAAGTGCCACGTGTTTACAAGTCTGTGCGCCATTAAGAGAGGATCTCGACAAGGAGAGGAAAGGAGAAAAACTTGGAAAGTAAAGGGATTATCACGTGTTATCTCGTTGTTGCGTCTTCGCCCTTTGATTTTCACGAAAGGGCCCTCGTATCACTTTACTTTACCCGTCGCTGTAGACACATAATTAATTTACCGCAGTGCGAGAGAAAAAGAACTTTGAGCCAAATGAGCAGTTTCGAAAAAAACCATATCTAAGGTCGGTATTCATAGTGGGTTACTTTAAGATCGCCTTAAGTAATATCTTAAGGTGCTATTACGACCTTCTGATTGGCTTATGACATTTTAAGACTGTATTTAAGACAACTTCAAATATAAGAATCGATTATTAATACCGGCCTAAAACTAGTATTTATAATTGGATCTTCTAAGTCAAAGACTGTTTTAAATACAGTCTTAAAATGTCACAAGCCAATCACAGAGCAGAATTAGCATTTTCAAACATTACTTAAGACGATCTTGAAATAAGAAGTGACTATAAATATCGGCCTAGACGGGGTAAATTTCAAAGGCGAAATTATTTTATAAACGGTATTGTTATTATAATCAAAGTCTACGCTATTAAATATTAAAAGATCAAATTTAAATCAATTTCTTACGTTAAGTAACATTTTGTTATTTTTAAATTCCAAAAATATGTGAAAATGTATTATTTTAATTCAAAACATGATAGAAAAACAATTCATTTCTATGATTGAATCATTTAGTTTCAAAGTAAACAATATTTATATTAATATATGTGCAAATAGTAAATAACAAATTAAATTTAAGTTAAGTTAATAATTTTTAAGTTGAATAGTCTAACTCTGTTGTTTTAGTTAAATTAATGACATACTAAGTAAGAGTAGTGGCGACCGATGCGAAATGATTGAAAATAATTCGAATTGAAATTTGACATCAAGAATTTAACAGTATAAAAGTGAAATAATTTCTCATTAAACCATACGCTAATTAACCATCACATCAGTGGGATACACAGTGACATTTATAACGCGACAATTATCGTGATATTGTGATGATTTTGCGTGATGCGGTATAGTCGCGAATTTCGAATAAGCGGATGAGTGAAATGATAATCGTATCTATGGGAAAGAGACGGTCGTTCGATCAGCGCATCGACGTCGTAGACGAATTCGTGCTTATACGTGGTCGTGCCCGACCTGGTCTTTGCCCGAACCGAACTCCGAAGTCGCGAACGTCGTGATAGCAAAGAGGAGAATCGCAATAGCGTGGAAAATGTCGTGCGCCGAGTAACCGCGGTGCCCGCACGTTACCGCACGTTACCGCACGTTACCGCACACGTGCAACGCGAACGTCCGCGTACGTCGGCGTCGTGCAACCGCGGTTTGCACAGATCCCGTCTAACCTCTGCCATTTCCCATAGTCATGCCACACCCAGGCGCTCTCGCTCGTCGGCCGGTGATTAACATTAGCGATGTTATATGCGCGGAGGGGCAATTCGAACAAAGAGCAGATGCTTGCGCTGCACATGCATCTCGACGCGTATGTCTCTCCCGGTCGTAATGATTGTCTTTACCCTCGACAGTGCGTGTGCATACACTGCATACGCATGTGCGTAAAATTGGGCGAAATTTAATTAAATTAATAATTACCGCGTAGAGGATTACGTACTGAAGTACTAATTGAATCAGCCTTTGTAACAGTTCCCCAAATGTTGCAAGCCGCGCGCGATGATAATTAGCAATCTACACCGTTAACACTTTTCATTAAATTCTCCAAATGACGTAAACCGAATGTTATGATAGATTTTATGTAGATAATATCGAATTGAAAATACGACCTAATATTGTTTTGTTTATTGAAATTAATTCGGATCAAAGAGTTAATATTTATAACTATTTAATAATCGATAGTTGTAATTAATTGACGGTTGAAATGATTGACGTATATAATAAAATAATGACAAATTAAATAATTAAAATGTCAATCATTAATTATGAAGTGATTGTACTTTATGTGTATGTGTGGATTGCAATACGTCTATAATTTCTAACAAGTTGAGTTAGAAAATGAAGTGTCCTCAATAATATTAATTTGAACGCAACAGAATTATTGCTACTATAAGTATTCATTATTCACATGTTTTATATTTTCTTTATATAAAATATTTTTACACATAAATGAAGACAGCGATAATACATTATTTTTATATAATATACTTTTATGTAAGCTAAAGTCCATCATTCATATCTTTTAAACTTTCTTTAATGGAAAACACATGAAATATTTTTAAACATAAATTAAGACTGCTATGATATATTTCTTTTTTATATAAGTTAAAGTCGAACATGAAATTTAAAAAAAAAAAGATGGAACTGAAAGGAGAAACTATCACCTGTCTTTTTTGCCTCGTTCATATTTTCTATGGAATTTCATATCTCGCGTTTAGGAATGGCAAATTAAGCTTGACAGAGATTAATCTTAGCACATTGCCGGACATTGCGACGCGGACAGAGGATTAAAGCGAGATTCGCCGCGTACCTGTGCGCGCCGAGTGAAATTGCGCTGTTAATTTCTCAGATCGAATCGGATACACGAAGGACGCAGTGAAAGCAGGCAGAATACCACCTCTTCGGGGGAAGGCGTCGTGAGACGTGCCCTGAAATAACCGTCTAATAATGCAATGCGGAACAAGTTATTCTGGTAGCCGAGGCCCCTCACTGGGTTAAGCTAAGTGTTTGCCCGCCTTTTGCTTTGCTTCCTTTTGCCTTAGCAGTATAGATTGGGACAGGCCATGGATCACGACACAAGCTCGCAGACGACACACAGTCGTAGATGGTCGTAGAGTAAGAGAGAGAGAGAGAGAGAGAGAGAGAGAGAGAGAGAGAGAGAGAGAGAGAGAGAGAAAGAGACTCTCTCTGATCTGTTGCACACCCGTATCTTTTGTATGTGTGCATGTATCTGTATTGCAGAATGCACGATGCATTTGGCTCATCATACGGAGACTCGCCAAGCACAAATACAGTTTCTTTCTTCTTTTCTCTAAATGAATGATATCCTTGTAAATCGATGCTCGTTTGAAATTTATATTACCGTCTCGCGAATTTAATTGAAAGGACAGAATTAAACTGCCACATTAGGATTTACAAAAATTGAAATATAGTATATTTAATAGATA